ATTCAGGATCGTCAAGACGCGACAGTCAGGTTGATTCGTGGCATTGTGCTTTGGCACGCGTCAGGATCTTTGAACGGTTGTCTCCCTTCGGGGCACTTCCCTCTGTGGAAATGAACCCGTGTATAGCGCCCATAAAGAGGGAGCTTGGAGGGACGGTATATTCCAACATCGTTGATCAGTCTAGACTTTGCACTGGTCCTCCTCCTCCTTCTCCTCCTCCTCCTCTTCCTCCTCCTACCTCCTGCGCCCTCTCAGCCCTCTTTCCAAGCGGACGCTCCACTTCTCGGTCTTGCCAGAGCGCCCCACGGCGCGCGCGAATAGGCCGCTGTCAGAGTAGGCCGTACCCTTCGATGTCCTGGAGCCGTGCGAGAGGAGGGGAGGAAGCCCTCCTCCTCCTCCTCCTCCTCCTCCTCCTCCTCCTCCTCCTCCTCTTCCTCTTCCTCCTCCTGCTCCTCCTGCTCCTCGTCTCCTCGTCGTCGTCGTCGTCCTTCCCCTCCTCATCCTCGTCTCCCCCTCCTCTTCCTCGTCCTCCTAGTCGTCGTCGTCCTCCTCCTCCTCCTCATCCAAGTCCCCCCTCCCTTTCCTCTTTATCCAACCCTTTTTTCATACATAACTTTTCCCTGTCGCGCCCCCCAGACCTGTCGGCAGGGCGGGTCGGGCGTTTGACCTGAGACTTCCCCTCAATTCGTGATCCTGAATCTTGGATTTGTCAGCAGCTTCACGGTTTGGGGCGGGTGTTTTTCAAAATGTGGCTCTCGCCATTCAGTCGCGCACATTCGTGCTACAAGGCTGCAGCAAGTTCAAAAATGGAAGACACATCGTTTTCAACATGTGGCTCTCGCCTTCGCTCAGCGCACGTTCGTCTTACAAGTTTGTGGTAGCTCCGAGTGTGGAGGGCGGCTCCTTTTCAAAGGGAAGCTCTCGCGCGGCGCGCTTCTTCAGGTGAGGGGAAAAGCTTGTAAAAGGACTTTCCCGGGGGGACTTGGCACGGGCGAGTGTGTGCCAGCATCGCCACTTGTTCCTAAATCTGCGTTGGTCCTTCTCCTGTTTCCCCCTTGCACGTTGCGCCCTTCTTCTCCACTGTTGCACAATATGACTACAAGTCTCCTCATTACCCCGAATCTGTGCTGAGAATGTTCGCCCCCGCCCTGTCCCCCTCCGCGCATGTTTGCTGCGCACATGATGTGGGCGAATTGGTTTTTCTTTCGTAGTTTTCCAATCCGGACATTCTCGGTCCTTCCAAAATCGTGCTCCCGCTGCAGCGTCGGCTTCATTTCAAGATCGCGGCTCTGCTCCCGTCGTTCAGAATTGCACTCTGCGGGCCACTTTTCTGGATCCGAATCCTTACTTATCGTTGTGGCCCTCCTCTTTTCCTTTCCTCCGCCTTCCCCTGGTCCTCCTGCTCCGCTCTGTCCACTCCGGTTCCTGCTGCTGCTGTTCGTCCTCCTTCTCCTCCATCCTAATGTTAATATTTCGCCTCCTGCTCATCCTCCTGCTCATCCATCCGCCACCTTCTCGTTCTCCTCTTCCTCCTCCTCCCCCTCCTCCTCCTCCTCCTCCTCCTCCTCCTCGTCCTCCTCCTCCTATGCACGCAATTCCATTGTGCTGACTGCGCAGAACAACACGATATGGGTCTTTGTTTGAGTTCCAAGTCAGCTATGACACGCGTGCGCGGATAGAGAAAACAGTGGTGCATTCAGAAGGCATGGGGGGGGAGGGGTAGAGTGTCAATGTGGCGCGAGCGCGCCTGGCTTGTCTCCCTCCTTTTTTATTGTTCTCTCTCTCTCTCTCTTTCTCCCCTTCTCTTCTCTCTCGTTTTTCCTCCTCCTCTTCTTCCTCATCTTCCTCCCCCTCCTTCTCCTCCTCCTCCTCCTGTGCTCGTACCGACAACCAGGTTCAATCATCCTCTGCTGCTACTGCTTCTGGTACTGCCGTTGTCGCTGGTGCTGCTGTCGCTGGGCGCGCCTGGCTGTGGGGTACTGCTTGTGCCCTCAGGGCAGCGTCGAGGCCGTGGCGGGAGCACAGTGCTAGCTCGTAGAGCTACATCGGTCCAAGGTGCCAGGGTGGAGGAGATAGCGGGGAGCAAGGCATCGGCATCAGCAGGACTCAGAGGAGGGGAACGTTGGGAAGTGGCCATACGGAACAGATAATGGAAGACTACAGGCGGCATGAAGGCGAGAGCAGATGGCTCCGGAAGCCCAAGACGGTGGATGGGACAGTGAGAAGATATGGGCTGGTGGCAGGCTCGGGAGGCCAATGCGAGAAGCCTTGAGCATGACGTATAATGAGCTTTCGAGTATTGGCAGCCGAAAATACAAGCTCGTAATTTCTTAAATCGAGATTATGTGCACCAAGCGCCGGGTACAATTTTGACGAAGCTCTTGCCCAAACTCAGAGGACAACGTAAACTGGATTCACGGACTTCGTTCCAGCGGATGCGGAAAATGGCGTTAGCCGGTCTGGGGAAGAGGTGGAGAAGGCGAGCGGAGGAGTCACGGTGGAGCGGAGAGGGGGAGAGGCGGGAGGCAAGAGACTCGTAAACAATGCGCTGGTGTTTGCTGTGATCTGACACCGCATCCCGCTGCCTAGTGCCACTTCGGATGGGGAGGGAACCCATTCGCGGCCTCCTGAGGTTCGAGCGCGAAACAAGGGGGCGTCCAACATCCAAGGTACCTCTTGCCTTGGACGACTTCGGCGATCCCGAGACATTCGCGGGCACTGGCCGCGAGCGCAATGGCCAGCTCAGCCCAGCAGGGAAGGGTTTTGACCGCGGTGCGAGTTAGCTGCGAGGAGGTTGACCAGAATCGCGCTCTTCAGTCGTGGGCCGCCCCACTCCAAAATGTGAAGCCAGTCGGCTCTCGAGAGGCAGCACGGAGACATGCGGAAGAGAGGCTCGAATCTCTGATGCTCAAGCCTGCTCGATCTCTGGAGCGGGAGGCGTTGAAGCTGCCCAGCGTAAGAGAGAGTGGAAAGGGCCGGACTCTCATGCAGCCGTGAGGTGATCGGCTCGGGGGGCGCCCGCGGCAGCGATGGCCGTCGCGCGGCTGGGCCACTTGGTAGTGGGTCCGTCCCAGGAGCTTTCGCACGCGCCTGGCCCGAGCATTAGGGCGAGGTGTTTCAAGCGTAAGCAGCCGGGAAACCAGCCCGCTCAGGAATCTCTGCAGCTATCCACTCCCGGAGCAGGCGAGCCACGCAGGGGAAGAATTCTCCCACCAGGGGGACAACACCGCACCTCTTCACTTCCAGGCGAGGGTTGGCCACTCTTTTGCATACTTTGAGAACGGTGAACAGCTTTCGCAGCGCGGCGATCCGGTAAGGCACGCTGCCTTTGACACCGGCGCAAGCCCTCGCTGGCCCAAGACCAAGAGTTTCCACCAGAGCCCTGAAGTGGCACGCGAAGGAGTGGGAACTCAGAGCACAGAGTATACCAGAGGCAGGACACTCTTGAACAATCCCAAAGGAGATGATAAACATGACCCGCAGGTGCATATCTCCAAGATCCCAGACGTCACGATGAACCATCCGAAAGAACTCGTGCAAGGGTTCTGGGAACCTCAGGGCCTTCGGTGCACGAAAAATCCAAGCGTCCCCAAACCCGCGACGGCCTTAAACGGCCTTATGAAGGTGGCCACTCCGCCTGCAGCGCGAGCAGAATGGGGGCGGGGAGAAGAGCGAGCAACAACAACAAGGCGCGCATAATGGATCAGCGCCTCGATCTAAGCGATAGCCCCACGGGCTTCCTGAACGCCCAGGAGACCGCCCTGCCCGATCAACTGTCGAAGGAACCAAAATCTTCGATCGCGGAGCTGGCGCGGGCGAAACTCTGCGGAGAAAAAGAAGACGGGCATTTCAGGGGCCGAAGAGGATGGGGGCATGATGGAGATGCTGGCGGCACCGCGCCGCGAAGATAGGTTTGGGACCACTGCGCGGGCCCAGGCCCTGCCGCAAGCCTCTCGCTACTCTCCATGAGTCTGCCTTTGCCCAGGCCAACCTTGATGATGTTTGCCTTTGCCCGCTTGACTGTCGGGGGCTCGTTGTTCGGGCTTGGCGCGACAGAGATGGTGCTTTCCTTTGCCCGCTTGGCTGTCGGGGGCTCGTTGCTCGGACTTGGCGCGACAGAGATGGTCGAAGACCCGTCCACGCTGATGCAGCCCTTTATCTTGCCGCCGAAGAGCCGCTTGTCGGGACAGACACTAGCGCAGGCTGCGCGGGTGGCCTTGGCCAGCTGCTCCCGCTTGATCTGTCCCCAGGACTTAATTATCCGAGTCCAGGTGCAGCTCTTGTGTGGCGCCGAGGGTGTCGATGATCTGGTGCCTGGTCCATGCGCTGTCCCGCTGGCGACGTGATCCCACGACTTGTGCCACCCTGCGCTGCGCGTGTGCCGTCGTGCCCGAGAATCGAATCTGGATTATGTTGGATGAGGGCTTCCCCTCGACGCGGACCTCGTTCTCAGCCAAATTGGTTTGCTCAAGCATCGGCTTGGGCGTCCGCCTGAAAGCTTCCATGTATGCGCAAGACTTGGCACGGTCCACGATTACTGCTGCGTCAGTTGCTCTGTCAAATTGAGCTCGATCTGCTGGTGGTTCTTCTGCGCGAAGGGCTCCCAAACATTGCCGCGACTTATGGATCTGCACGTCAACTGCCTTGAACTTCGCCGAGTGCTCTGCCAGCTGGTATTCCACTCCAACCGTGCGTCGTTCCACTTATGCTCCCAACTATTTGCAAGTAGAGGATACCGCTCGGACAAGGGTGCCGATTGTGCGCTGCACGGAAGTCGCCATGTCTGCCTTGGCTTGCTCGATGTCCTCGAGCTGGGCGTCCTTGTCGGCGTCCACGTTGTTTCTGATGCCGTCGGAAGCAGCATCACCGCCAAGACAAAGGAACTCATCACCATCAGCGCGCTGGCGTCTCGTGTCCTTCTCCGCCGTTCGTGCTTCACTCCCTCGGATGCGTGGCGGCGTCGCCACGGCGTTTGTGTCCACATCGCCATGCAGAGCCATTACTTCGCCAATCTACGCTGCTGGACGGCACCCGCAAGAGAAATGCTGCTCGGCCAGCGCCCTCGGCGCTGCGGGACAGCTCCCGAAGGGATCGCGGTGAAGCCTGAACGGGACTCGAGCCCGCCCTTTCCGCTCTGTTTCAAGCTGAAGCCACAAGGCGATGGCTTCAACTTGAGCCACAATTGCTACGGGTTGCCCTCCTCATCCTCCTCCGCATGCGTATCACCATCCTCTCCTCGTGGCCCTTCTCTTCCTCCGTCCTCGCACGTGACACCCCCCTCCTCCTCTTCATCCTCCCAGCCCCTCCGAGGGGGAACAGGGCGGGGATCAACATGTGTGGGGGTCGAATGGAGAAGAGGAGCGGCAAGGATAATGATCACGGCTCGGAAGGGTGGCATAGGCGGTCGAAGGCGGCAGGACACGCTCCAAATGCAATGGGTGTCGGATGCACTCCTGGAGGTGGAGGAAAACGATGACATCGAGCGCTGCAGGGCATGCTTGTACTCTGGGTTCTGCCCACTCGCGAAGAAGTCCTCTATGAAGGGGGGGAAGGATGGGGGGAAGATGCGGAGGATGAACAGAGAAAAGGAGAAGGGATGGATGATATGGGAGGGGGGAGAAGGATGATGATGATGACGATGACGATGACGATGACGATGATGATGATGATGATGATGATGATGCTGCTGCTGCTGATGATGATGATGATGCTCTTGCTGCTGATAAGGGTGATGCTTATGATAAGGCTGATGTTGATGCTGCTGATGCTGATGGTAACGATGATGATGCTGATGCTGATGCTGCTGATGATGATGGTGGTGATGCTGAGGAGGAGGTGGAGGAGGTGGAGGATGGACGGGGTGAAAGATATAGGAGGGCGGATGGAGATACGAGGGGGAAGGCATAGTGTGACGGGGAAAAAAAGGAGGCAGCAGGGAGGAGAGATGAGGAAAGAGGGAGGGAGGATGTAGCCAGGCGAAGGACGGAGGCTATTATGAGGAATGGCGGAGTTGAACAAGCGGTGTAGGGAGGAGGAAGGAGCAGGGGGAAGAGCCGGAGGTGGATGAGCAGTCCTGCATTGAGGAAGAGGGTGTTGATGGGGAGGTTGGCAAAGGAGGATAAGGAGGATACGGAACACCACGAGGATAGCTAGCCTGATGCTGGGAAGGGGAAAGCCAACACTTTGGGGATTACCCTCTGAGAAGACGTCCTCAACCGTCTCCTGGATATCATGCGCGCACGCGCTGGGGTCACAGGCCGCGAACAGCGACATGCGCGGAAGGCTGGAGGCGAACTCGCCCGAGCCAGCAAAGCTGCGCAACAATGAGGAGGCGGGGTGGGGCCCACGGAGGGCGATAGAACGCGCCAGGGCGAATGCAAGGGGGCCCTCTGAAAGCGCTCCCCGGGAGGGGAAGCACACGAATCCCCACGAGGACGGCCCTGAGATCCTGACATCTCACTTGTCTGAGCTGGGCGTTTTCGCCCGGTTTCGGGCACCAGGACCCGCACATATCGATCTGGCTCGACAAGTGGCGCAGAAAGATGGGGTCCAAAGCTCTGGTCGGGACTTTTCCCTCGTGGCGTCTCGCTAGCGGGTTCCAGGGGTCAAACAAATAGTTCGAAACCACCGAAGAGTTCCGCAAGGGAGCCGTAGACCGCCCAGTCCGGCAACCGCTTCGCATGAGAATTCCTCACAATTTGCTCCCGAATCGTGCCCTCGCCTCAATGCCGGCCACACGTTGGTCGCCTCCTCACCTTTGCTGCTGCTGCAGCTGGGAACTTTTGGGATCGCGTGTCTCGGCAGCGGCCCTGGCGACACGCGACGCTCTGCCAACGGACGGCGTGTCGCTCCGCTCCGCGGGGCGATGGGCTCGGCAAGGCCCGGGACGTGGAAGCCTGAGGACCGGGAAGTGATCAGCGTGTCGCGCCGCAGCGCGGTGGGCCAGAACCGGCGGAGCAACGCGCTATCCAAGGGCTCCTAAGTTCGCGCTTCGCGCTGCGCGAAGCGCGAAGCGCGAATAACTTCGCGCCCTCGCGCCGCCCTCCCAAAGGGAGAATAGGAGGACGAGGAGGAGGGGGAGAAGGAACGAGGACCGCGAAGCGCGAAGCGCGAATAACTTCGCGCCCTCGAGGGAGCCCTTGGCTATCAGACAGCTCCCAACACTAATCCACGATGTGTCGCCGCGCCGTTTGTTTCTATAAGCGCGCCCAAGTAGACGAAGTCGGCACCGCGGCAAACCCCACGGCGAACCTTGCGTCCGAGGCGGAGTTTGCCCTGGTGGCCGAGGCGCCCTCCTTAAGACACAGGGCCGCGCGCCGGAACAAACGGCGCGGCGACATGTTTGTCGCCACGTCGGATCCTGGCGGCGCGCACAAGGGGGTAGGGGGAGGGGGGACTGCGTCTTCGAACGAGGCTGCTTCTTAGAAGGCGCTGGCCCCACGTCCATCGATGAGGCCCGCGACTTCTAAGAAGCAGGCGTGCTTCTAAGAAGCCTCACCCATCCCCCTAACCCCCCTCTGCGCGTGGCCGGACATCCTTTCGCTACGTCGGATCTCAAGGGGGTGGCCGTCAGAGTTGTCCCGACGAGGGCCACCTGAGAGCCCCGCTGTGCGCCCCCTGGAAAGCCCCCAGGCAAAAAAGCGCCACGAAGAGCTCTGTCGCCCCCAGGCGCTTCCTCCACGCGGGCCAACCTTGTCAATCCTACCCCTCCTCTGCTGAATAGATGGCAAGAGGAAGAGCAGGAGGAGGAGAAGAAGGAGGGGACGAGGAGGAAAAGTAGTAGTATTGGTAGTAGTCGTGGTGTAGTAGTAGTAGTAGTAGTAGTAGTAGTAGTAGTAGTAGTAGTAGTAGTAGTAGTAGTAGTAGTAGTAGTAGTAGTAGTAGTAGTAGTAGTAGTAGTAGTAGTAGTAGTAGTGGTCGTAGTAGTAGTAGTAGTAGTAGTAGTAGTAGTAGTAGCAGTAGTAGTAGTGATCGTAGTCGTAGTAGTCGTAGTAGTAGTAGTAGTAGTAGTAGTAGTAGAAGAAGTAGTAGTAGTAGTAGTAGTAGTAGTAGTAGTAGTAGTAGTAGTAGTAGAGACACTAGTAGTACTAGTAGTAGCAGTAGTCGAAGTAGTAGAAGTAGTAGCAGTAGTCGTCGTCGTCGTCGTCGTAGTAGTGGTAGTAGTAGTAGTAGTAGTAGTAGCCGTAGTAGTAGTAATAATAGTAGTAGCCGTCGTAGTAGTAGTCGTAGTCGTAGTCGTAGCCGTAGTCGTAGTAGTAGTGGTGGTCGCAGTAGTAGCAGTAATAGTAGTGGTAGTAAAAGTAGTAGTAGCAGTAGTAGTAGTAGTAGTGGTAGTAGTAGTAGTAGTAGCAGTAGTCGTAGTAGTAGTAGTAGTAGTAGGAGTAGTAGTAGTAGAAGTAGTAGTAGTAGTAGTGGTAGTAGTAGTAGTAGTAGTAGTAGAAGTAGTAGTAGTAATAGTAGTACTAGTAGTAGTAGTAGTAATAGTGGTAGCAATATTAGAATTAGTAGTCGTAGTAGTAGTAGTCGTCGTCGTCGTCGTAGTAGCAACGATAGTAATAGTAGTCGTCGTAGTAGTAGTCGTAGTGGTAGTCGTAGTGGTGGTAGTAGTAGTAGCAGTGGTAGTAGTAGTCGTCGTAGTCGTAGTCGTAGTAGCAGCAGAGGTAATAATAGAAGTAACCGTACGAGTCGGAAAAGTATGAGTAGTAGTAGTAGTAGTAGTAACAGATGTAGTCGTAGTTGTAGAAGTAGTGGTATAAGTAGAAGTAGAAGTAGTAGTAGTAGTAGTAGTCGTAGCAGTAGCAGTAGTAGTAGTAGTAGTAGTAGTAGTAGTAGCAGTAGTCGTATTCGTACTGGTCGTACTAGTAGTTGTACAAGTAGTGGTAGTAGTAGTAGTAGTAGCAGCAGTAGTAGTAGTAGGAGCAGAAGTAGAAGTCATAGTAGTAGGACTCGTAGTAGTAGTAACAGTAGCAGTCGTAGTTGTAGCCATAGTAGAAGTCGTAGTCGTGATAGTAGTCGGAGTAGTAGTGGTAGTAGTAATAGTAGTAGTAGTAGTAGTAGTAGTAGTAGTAGTGGTAGTAGTGGTAGTAGTAATAGTAGCAGTAGTCGTAGTCGTAGTAGTGGTAGTAGTAGTAGTAGTAGTAGTAGTAGTCGTCGTAGTAATCGTAGTAGTAGTAGTGGTAGTAGTCGTAGTAGTAGTAGTAGTAGTAGTAGTAGTAGTAGTAGTAGTAGTAGTAGTAGTAGAAATAGTAGGATTAGTAGTAGTAGTCGCAGTAGTAGTAGTAGCCGTAGTGGTGGTAATAATAGTAGTAGTAATCGTAGCAGTAATAATAAAATGGTTATAGCCGTAGTAGTCGTAATACTCATAGTAGTAGTGATACTAGTAATGTTGATGTTGTACTAGTAGTCGTAGTGATAGCAGTCGTAGTAGTAGTATTCGTAGTAGAAGTAGTAGTAGTAGTAGTAGTAGTAGTAGTAGTAGTAGTAGTAGTGGTAATAGTAGTAGTAGTAGTAGTAGTAGTAGTAGTAGTAGTCGTCGTAATAGTAGTGGTGGTGGTAGTAGAAGTAGTAGTCGAAGTAGTAGTAGTAGTAGTAGTAGTAGGAGTAGTAGTAGTAGTAGTAGTAGTCGTCGTCGTAGTAGTAGTCGTAGTAAGTAGTAGTAGAGGTAATGGTAGTGGTAGTGGTAGTAGTAGAAGTACTACTACTAGTAGTAGTAGTAGTAGTAGTAGTCGTCGCCGTAGTAGTCGTCGTAGTAATACTAGTAGTAGTAGTAGTCGTAGTAGTAGTAGTAGTAGTAGTAGTAGTAGTAGTAGTAGACGAAGAAGAACAAGTAGTAGTAGTAGTAGTAGTAGTAGTAGTAGTAGTAGTAGTAGTAGTGGTCGTAGTAGTAGTAGTAGTAGTAGTAGTAGTAGTAGTAGTAGTAGTAGTAGTAGTAGTAGTAGTAGTAGTAGTAGAATTAAAGTAATAGTAGTAGCAAGAGGAGAAGGAGGAGCAGAGGAGGAGG